TGTTTATTAAAGAACAACTCTATTGTTTATTTTATCATTAGTAGTATCTTATATAAACTTACGTTTAGAGAAGTACAACTTCAAATCCGTATTTAAATGCGCCTGCAATTTTATCCAGCTGTCTCATTGGGTCTTCTAGTGAAGCTAAACACGGCTATACAACGATTTCTCGCTGAAATAGCAATTCCGTTACCGGGTGATATAAATTAATACAACATATTGTTAACTGAGTAATATAGTGCTGTGTTTCAAGTCATATTATACATTAGATCTTCAAAGCCCGGAATGAATATTTCTATTTGAATAATCCTGTTAATAAATATGTTGAAGGCAGAAAAATATTAAAATTGTCCCCATCGTAACTCACATTGAGAAAAATAATCAAGACAATTTATTATGATAATTTATTAAAATAAAGTTCATGTCTTTAGCATCATAAAATTCTTTATAAAATGTAATAAAGCTGACTTAAGAGCCTGTTACAGAAATCAGACAATAATCATTTTAAGAAATATACACATCAGTAAGAGAATTAGACGAGTTTTAATCATTCTTGATACATAGAATTAAAGCATCAAACCGAGTATATAATTTCTTATTTTTAAACCATTTTCAGTTTATTTGTATTACAATAGTATGTGTATTTATTATATTAGCAACCTTCAGCAATCGACCTCATCATGATATTAAATAGCTGAGAACCTTGTAGGAGAATTGTATTACGGAGCAAACTGTATTAATTTTAAATCCCATCTTCTGAACGACCTATCGAAAAACTCAGGAAGTCAATAAACTATGTAGTCTCACTTGTCAAAAACTGTTCCTGAGGCACATTCCTAACCTGCCCTTCTGTACGTTACACTTGTATTGTGATCCCTTCATACTCATTCTATTTAATTAAAATTACATGGATTATTTATACATCATTTCTCTGTCTCGTAAAACGTACTTCTTCTAACAACAATTCCTTGTAACTTTCTAGTTCTACGACTAAATTGGGCAACGAAAACACTCGATGTCGGTCTTGTTGAGATGGGATTCAAAGTAGAATACATCAAACACTGGGAGGAGTTTGCATCTTAATCGTTTGGAGAAGATCTGGTTTCAACAGATACTGATATTTCCAGCAAGCAGCTGTAATCTTGCTAAAACCCTTATGACTTGACGCAATGAATCTCTGCGAATAAACTTGTGTACTCGTAGCGGATTCTGCGCCAAGTTGTAAATACGCGCAGCAAACAGTTTTTCAGCCCCTCCTCCTCTTGGTACTGGATCGAAGTCGGAACAAGAAACTCGCTTAGTCTTGCAGTTAGTGGAATAAACAAGACTGAAATAATTATATGAGTCGTCATTTCCAACAATATTGTTTATTACAATAGCAGCTTTCGATGGCTTAGCCATCATTATCAGTTTTCTAGTAAAAGAAAAAACATTAAAACGTCAATTTTTTTTATTTGACAACAAATAATGGCTAATCCATCGAAAGCTGCTATTGTAATTCACAATATTGTTGGTAATGACGACTTAAAAGTGTTTCATTGTAAATGCCAACGAAAACTCGCCACAATACCAATAAACAATGCTGTTGAATACCACATTATATGATGTCGAGTAGGAAAGAGTTAAGAAAAGATTCGGTATGGATAAATATTTCCACTAATTGTCATTATAGCATTTTATATAACTAAGTTATGCTACAAAACTCCCATCTTTTCACATTTTACCATCCATTAGTTTTTATGGAACAGTATTCTCTTACGTCATTCGGCGCTAATCTAAAAGAAACCTAAAAACTGCGAATGCTTTATTTGAGATCTGTATTACATGACTTTGGATATTGTGGACTGTGGCATTTGAATTAATATATGGGTAGAACACATTGCCCAACAAACTTAATAAATATTAATTATAATGACAGTCATTAGGAAGGAGATATTTGGTTAACAAGACGCAAACATTCGAAAACAAATATAATGTATTGATGACGAAAAATACACAAATTGCAAGTTACACTCCAAAGCTATTTAAATCTCTTCACGGACATGAGTCCCAATATTTATCAAAACTAATACTTGAGATGGGAAGCAGAGTCACTTTATTTCAAAAGTAGGTAGTGGTGCAATAACACCACATGCTTTCTCGTGATATTAGAAACCAGTTAAGTAATATAATATTGCTACTTCTAATCAACAAACACGTCGGACATCATCTCAAATAGTCCTAACCAAATGAGTGTCAGAGTTAAAATATAACATATCTTTATATTTTTTAATTCCAAAAAATATTAAATTTAAATTGTTTCAACAATTGAATTTAGTGTATTATGCTATGTTATTACCAAAAGTGCAAAGAAAACAGACATATTTGCTCAGGCCCAGAATCAAACTTGGCGCTGCCGGTCAGAATCTCGAGCACTGCCTCATTCTCAACAACGTTATTCCATTTTCTCCCGATTGATACTGGAATATAATATATTCTTGATATCCTTTTTATTTTTCCTCATTATCCTATACCCCTAAATGAGTGAAAATTTGTAATATTTTCCCTTATTTAAACATAAAATGATGTGAAGATTATGAACCTCATAATATTGAAGAATAATTTGCATTACAGAAGAAATATGTAGCTTCTATATTAAATGTGTAAAGAAAGTTGTAAAAACGTCAATTCAAATTTCAAGTTTTAAAAATTCCCGGGGTTGAAATAAGTTATTAAAAGAGTTAATTCCTCATATCAAAACATCTCGTCTTGTCTATTAGATGTAGTAGAAATATTTCGTCGTGCGCGCGACGTCAACTCTACGTTGGAGTGTCCGCCCCCTGTTAAATTGGACGCTCTTTGTACAAGATGAAGTGCGTGTGTAAACGCGGTTGCCAAGAACTTCGAAACAGCTGCCGCCACGTTGCCACATTTCCCTTCCGCTTAAGGGAACACTCATTCCGCGGTTGTAAGGAACGTCTATGAAATACGAGCGCCTATAAGCGAACACTAATTTTGAGAAAGCACTTATCACTTAAGGGTTCGCTTATCCTATAAGCGACGACTATGAATTCGGCCCTTAGAGTGCAGTCGTATTTTGTTTTTGGCAGACTATCGTGTCTTGACCTTAAGTCGCCATCCTGATGGAGGTTTACCTGGAATTTACTCTATCGCATAAGGCGTTTGCCGGTATAGACCCTTGTTTCTCTTGCCCTAGGAATAAATGTGGCATCGTTGGCTTACGGGTAGGAGATGTTGGGTCGGGTTTTCAGGTCTTGGGTATATTCTAATTGATAAACATTTCCTAAACTTTCATAATTTCTACTCTTCAACTTCGGAGTTTAAATTAAAAACATTTCCTAAAATTGAATTGATCGTATCCACGTTTTTAGTGTCTTTTTTTGCTTAATTTTAAATAACCGAATAGTTTTATAATATATTCTCATATTATTAATATTATTGTTATTATTATTAAGAAATACAAGTATTATCATAACGAAATACATTATCTTACGATGTTTTCCATTTCTTTCAGGGTTTGTACTCTGCATTCTATGTGTTTTCGCTCGTATGCTGACGATATTCCCTCCCTCTCTAGTCTTTTTAGAGATACTTCAAAAATAGCTACTCAACTTCAGCTCCTTCAAAACCTCTGTAAATAATTAGTAGTGCTTATTAGCCATTCACTGACTTAAACAACCTTCTTCCAATCTTCCTCTGTAACTAACTTGCTGAGGCACAAAATATAATTTCTCTATTTAGTAAATTTTAGTAAATTTCCATAGCACTCAATCCGATACAAGTATATTTACGGTTAATATTAATACGTCACTAACTTGAAATAAATAAATAAATTTAATCTCACAATGCAGT